ATATATATATATATATATATATATATGGATAATATTCTAGTAGACGTAACGTGATGTCTACGAAATCGTCAACTGAAATATTTTGCCTGTTTATAGTCTTGTGATGTTTTCTATTTCGGAACAGAAATAAAATGTTTTCTTTTTCTGCTTTTAGAATCAAAAGCATAATTATTCATAAATGTTTGAGAATTCTCGAAAGTGAAGATAGTTAAGTCAAGATACCTTCTTCATAGACCTTCTTCAGTCTGTGGTGTATATATTACAATCAAAATATTCGTCTTAAGAACTAGACGAAAACGCATGTTTTTTTTTTAATCAGTATACAAATATCTATTGAGGTTTAAAGATGGTTTATGACATATGATTGTAACAAACAATTATACAACAAACTTACAACAAGTTGCAATTATAAGCACAATCTAGAGAATTCTGAAGGGAATTTATTCTGTATGGCACCCATTGGTACAGCGAGCACAGTACAGATAACCCATTGAGTAGCTTTGTGCTTAACTACAAACAAACGAGATCCTCAGTTGACTGATTAATTGAGTTTTTAAATGACCTCTTACACATGTGATCTATGTTGTTTAAGTGAACTCTTACACATGTGATCTATGTTGTTTAAGTGAACTCTTACACATGTGATCTATGTTGTTTAAGTGAACGCTTACACATGTGATCTATATTATTTAAATATACGTAATTTCTACACAACGTTAGCTGTCAAGCAACATTGGAAAGGAGAGTGGCTGACTAAACTGACTTTCACAGAAGACAGCTAATCTAATCATTAGGTGCTTTAGTGTCCCAAGTTACACAGCTATTTAGCTTTGTAAGATGGACGATATCAAAGGTTACCTCAGCATGACGATTAACCAATAAATATCAAGAGGTAAATGTAACAGTTGTTGGAAGATCACGATGAGCAAACGAAACCGCCGTGTTTCATGTAAAATTGTGTCCTCGAGGAATGGAACCTAATTCATCAGCATTCTTAAAGATCATAAATAATGAAAGTAACCATCTTGCTTTATGTAAAATTGTGTCCTCGAGGAATGGAACCTAATTCATCAGCATTCTTGAAGATTATACATAATGAAAGACATAAAGCAAGATGGTTAAAAATTGTGTCCTCGAGGAATGGAACCTAATTCATCATCATTCCGTTCAGTAAGTTGCAGGTACCCTACTATAAGAAATTAACACCTCTTTAACAACCAAAGATGGAACCACAAGTTATCAAACAGTTTACACTTTGTTTATCCAACACCTGTTTATAATAAATGATACGTGTTTAACATTGTAAGCATTCGTACAGAATTTTACTTTGATCACCGATAAGCACAGTTAGGAACACTTACTGGCTTACTAATAAGCCGTTTCCCGAAAGATGATAATTAGATTAACTGGATATTTGATTATATTAGATTAACTGGATATTTGATTATATTACGCTAGTTTCTTTACATTCAAAAAAGCACATTAACTTTTGTTCATACAGCTTTCTCTTACATTTATTGCTGAAGATGATCTGGAATTATTTTGCTTGTTAAACATAGAGAAATTAAATAAATTAAAATGAAATCGTGAATTGCTTATGCTTATGTAATTAATTAAAAACGAGCTGGAGTTATGACTCTTAACAATAAGAAATTCGTAGGGAACTGCAACACCAGTTGTTTAATTAATTGTCAAGTACAAGTGAACTTCATAAGACACGTAAGCTACATTAGTGAAGTACAAGTGAATTTCTTAAGACACGTAAGCTACATTAGTGAAGTACATGTGAATTTCATAAGACACGTTACTAACACCAGTAGAATATAGAGTACAAGTGAATTTCATAAGACACGTTACTTACACCAAGAAGAATACAAGTGAATTTCGTGAGAAACGTAACTTGCACTAGCGGAATACAAGTGAATTTCGTAAGAAACGTAACTTTAACTAGCGGAATACAAGTGAATTTCGTAAGAAACGTAACTTTAACTAGTAAAATACAACCAAGTGAATTTCATAAGACACGTAACTTTAATTATTTAAATTATTTTAATTATTTTTAATTATTTTAATTGTGCTTTGCAAGACATAAAGAAAACTTACAAATATTTCATTTTGTTTCTTTGTTTCATACTTTTCGAGCAAACCTGCGCGAAGAGCTCTTAGTGTATAGCACTCCCAAATTTTAAATTGATAGCCTAAGGCCTAACTAGGAAAAGTACCCAACACCAAATCTTGGGCTACTCTTGCCTGATCGAAAACTAGATTTGACCGTCATTATTGTAGTGCACACACACACACACATGGTCTCCATTTCTGAGGCAACGATACGCAAACTATTAAACCCTTGAATTTCATACTAGGTACACTAAGTATTAGGCCACGACTGGCACCCAAACAATTGTTTAAAATCTTATGTAGAGTCCAAATGATAAGCAAACCGTTTTTTGTACAACATTACTTAAGGTATGGATGTTAATATAAACGTAAAAAAAAGTATAAAACGTATTGGACATACTGTACTATAGAGATATAACGGTATAAGATTGACCGTCACATTACAATGGCCCACGGCTGAAAGGGCGAGCATGTTTGGTGGGACAGGGATTCGAACTAGCGACCCTCAGATTCCGAGTCGAGCGCCCTAAATACCTGGCCATGTCGGGCCAATGGTATAAGAAAGATTTAAGTTGCGTGTAATAAGATATATAAGGTGTCCAGATATTACCTTAACAAACTCTATAACGTGAGTAAACTGTTCTGTTAGTATATTTTCTGAACACTTTTTTTTGTGTGTGGGACTTAAATCACCGTTCATTAGTTTTGAAACTACAATAAGAAAGCACTGTGAAGTATTTGTTCCTATCCTACCACATTATGAAGCTAACATAAAAATATAAGCTTCTAGATTTCCATTTCGAACTAAATGGACAAATACCGAACACACTATGCATTTGTTTTTCTTTTCAAACAGGCCCGGGATGGCCAGGTGGTTAGGGCACTCGACTCGCAATCTGAGGGTCGCAGGTTCGAATCCCCGTCCCGCCAAGAACATGCTCGCCCTTTCAGCCATGGGGGCGTTATAATGTGACGGTCAATCCCACTATTCGTTGGTAAAAGAGTAGCCCAAGAGTTGGCGGTGGGTGGTGATGACTTGCTGCCTTCCCTCTAGTCTTACACTGGTAACTTAGGGACGGCTAGCGCAGATAGTCCTCGTGTAGCTTTGCGCGAAATTCAAAAACAAACAAACTTTTCAAAGATCCGTTTTCAAGATTTTTAAATAACAAACACGTAAAGAGTGAGTAAGGGATTGCTGAATAGATTCCTACAAAAATAATAAAAAAAAAAATCATAGTTTATTGTATTCTCCGGTTCTTTCATATATGCATCGTCAAACACATTGGAAAAAGGGACGTCGATTGGTCAACATTTTGTTATCTTCATAACATCTTCAAGTTGTTTCATTGTACTATCTTCATTTGCGTGTAAACGTGCGTTTCTGCAAATGTTTATTGTTTACGCTGTTCTTTGTCCTTCAGAGAAATCTATTTATACTTTCTAGCGACAGAGCTACAACACCTAGGTCTGAGCAAGCACTCAAAGTATAAGGTTATTGATCATTTCAACGTCACCGTTAAAAAATAGGACTTCTTTATGCTTCTACTGGTGTTTGTTTTCACAATCGTTATACGGTCTCACACTAATATTGGATCTTCCAGAAAATCTACTTACGAGAAGCAAAACCACTGCTATATAATAATGTTAGTTACCATTACGGTGTAGATTATTTACCATGTGATCTGAAGTGCAAATGGTAACCTGACACCGACGTTGCATGGTAAAATCAGAGTGTTAAGGCATTTCCAACTTCTTGAGGAAAAGGTTTTTCTAGGGCTTCTATGGTGACTGGAGTCACATGAAGACATGAAATACGTTTGCCTAAAACATCCTACACACGTTCAATAGGACTGAAATCTGATGAGCATGCACATCATTCCATTCGTTGAGGTTATATACGATAGTAACAAATGTTACCGTTTCACTCTGAAATCATCAACATATGGCAGAATAAAGGGTAGTAAGATAGTTGTCCATAATATAAAGTTCTAGTGTCATAGTTCCGCAAGAAGGGACAGGTCCGTAAGTTCGACAAAACCTATCCCCACCCACACCATTATTTCACCACTATCATAGGCGTGACATTCTTATAAGAAAATAATGTTAAATCTGGTGTGAGATATCAAAAGAGAGTGAGTCTTTTATCTGGTCAAGTACAAACTATCTGTAAAAACAAGTTCTTAGCACCGTTACATGAGAACTGTTTCGTGTCTTGATGCACGTCGCTGAGAAACAGATATAGAAGCCGCTCTTGTAAAACCTAATCCTATTTAGAATAAGATCTACACAGATATGGCGTCTCATTGCGGCATCGCACATCTTGTTTAGTCTCAGAGTAAGTAACAAGTCGCCCACTTGTACTGTGAGTGACGTGCTAACTATTTCATTTGATCATGGACTTGGAATCAGTTCTATATATATTCCATTCCAAATGACACTTTAAGGTATTTGTAGCCAATTCGCTGTGATTGGGTGATTTCCATTATTCCAATGAATGAAACACTATAAACATGGTGATTCCGTTCAAAGTAACAAATGAAGCAAGTCGCTGTGAGATCAGTGTATGTATAATAGGCTGAATGGCCAGTGATTTGCACTTTATAACATGGACCTGGTTCTGAGATAAACTGAGGGAAAAGGGTGATTAAAGCTTTTACTTTTGTTTTGTCTTAGCTATAATATAATAATTTCTGATGCTCTTTTAATTGTTTCGTGAAGTATATACATAAAACACCCGATAATCTTTAAACCTCGGGCTTATCATATTTAATTCGCATAGTTTATTAAAATATGATGTTAAAAATATTATCCAAAAATCATGGAACAATACTATTTTGTTGCCTAACCAAACATGAACCTTCAACTTATGTAATATTTTTAGATTAATGTATTTAAAATCAGAGTGCTTGGAATGTCTGTATTAATATACAATGACGTAATATATTAAAAGAAAAACGATACAAAGCCTATTTTAAAGAAAACTGAACAAAATATTAAGAAACATCGCTTCAAATTCAAATTTAGTATGAGAGCGTTATCAGAGAAACAGTCACTCTCTTAGCGAGGATGGTGGGTGGTAGAGTGCTGCTAACTGGTTACCATATTTCCGCTCAGTAGTTCAAAATTAGAGACAATGGCTCATATCTTTAGCAGCTTTGCTATAACTGAAAAATAAAAATACAGATAATAACTCAGTCATTACTTGTCCAACATTATCCACATGTCCACGCGCATGCCCCGTCAACTTCTTTTAACCGGATAGTTTTTCTTTGTAACTAGGGTTAACAATTCATCGAGTTATTTTAAAATTCCCTCATTGGCTTAAAATCCCTACTTGTATAAAACATATGACGTCATTGAAACATTACAAAGGAAATGAAAACAGGTTTAGAAGGCAATCAAAGGAACTAAAACTATTAATGGCTGGAGACGGCTTAAATGGGTAATGAAGAAAAACTTTAATATAAGCTTAAC